TTTATATCCTATTTTGTTTATCTGAAAATTAAAAATATAAATAAAGCCGATCTTTTAGAAGAGATAAGCTAAAATGTCTACTTTTTTGTCAAAAATTTTGATGAGATTGGCAAAATGTAAGAGAAAGAGAAAAAAACATTTGAAACCACTTGAAAGAGTATAGATTTTTCTTTTTACTAAAATTAACATTCATACTGGAGCTTGTGCAGTATTTAGTCTTTTTAGTAAGTGATAAACTCTGGGCTTGTTGGCAAATAGCATATAAGAACTACTTCTAAATAACAAGTGCTATGCCTGCAGTAAGTAATAAACTCTAAAACTATTAGCAAGATAGCATATGAGAACTATCTCTAAATAACAGCTGCTGATTTAGGGTCTTTTTTTTCACATCTTACATTCAAACTCTATGAGTTTTATACTAGTATACTGTATTTTTTCTTAGTAAAAAGTTTTTGGAAATTTGTAGTCCAAATGATAGGACCCTGAGCTATAAGTATATAGGTTAGTGAACTAGATGCGTAGCTATATTAGTATCTTTTTTAAATGTAAGATTTTGGATTTGCATAAAATTGGCAATATTTTAAAAAATGTTAAATTGTCAACTTGTGTAATTTTACTCAAATTTTAATATAGTTAGAGGTTGTTGATGTATATTTTTAGCACAAAATTAGGGGTAATTATATATAAATAGTACTAAAAAAAAACTTGACAGCACTCAAGTTTATGCTCAGATATGTAATGTACTTTAAAATAGAAGACAATCATAATTTAAGTATATCGATGTATAACCACATTAATATAGATAATCAAATACCCAATTAATAATTAAAATATAAGATAATCAACAAGCAAACTACAATAGTTATTATCATAAGCATTGTTAGAGATATAACCTGGTCATAAATTTTATATATAAAAACTAGTTTTTATATATAAAATTTATAACCGGGTTACAGAAGTACATACTTGTATATACAATAAACCAGTTTTAATAAAGTCAAACAAATGCGAATTAATAGAAACTTCAGGACGTGAGATATAAAGCAAGACAAACTCTTGTTTATTAAAAGTTGTGTTTACAGATGCAAAGTAGCAGTTTGTGTTCATTATATTAAAGAGACTGTTAATATATAAAGTAAGTAAAAAAAAAAAAAAAAAAGATAATAAAAGACTTACTTACTTAAAGCTAAAAAACACTTTAATATTCTAGGGTGATCTAAAACTTTGGAATAAGAAGTCTGCTAAATTTAAGCATGTCATTAAGAAAAGGTTGAATTATAATTAAAAAAGCGTATGTTATTTGAATCTCAATAGCAAGAATTGTAGACATAGTTGGGGAAAAAGATATTAAAAGAAATTAGAATTTTTTTTTGATTCAATATCTCAGTGGAAATATAGTAAAGAATGATTGTTAAGATATGAGTTTTGTACTCACATTATTAATCCAAAAAAAGTTGTATGTATGTGTAGCAAAAAAATTAAACTGAACCGAAAATGAGATAAAGATTATCTAAATCAATATATTAAAAGCTCTGGTTGTAAAGTAAAAGAATCAATTTATAATTTTTTTAAACCTACTAAAAATAACCTTGTTAGTGATGATGATAAGTGGAATTCAGATATTTATAATAATATAGATGATGATGATTTGTTACAAGTCGATAAAATAGATAAACTAGAAAAAATGAATGATAATATCTTAGCATTAACTGTTTTTACAAATAATGAATCATTAATTGATAAAAGTATATCTAAAAAATAGTCACTCTGTCAAGGCCTTCAATCAAAACAAATTTCTAATTACATTAAATGTACTCTAGCACAATTTGGTGGTTTATGTCATGTAAAAATTATTGCTCGTAAAATATTTCCAAAGTTATTTCATCAAAAATTCAGTAGAAAAAAGCTGACTTATGATTAAAAGCGAGTGCTAAATCATGCTTTATATACAGAGTCTACTTGGCAAATAGATTAAAATGGTAGGTTATTCAGATTACTATTATATAAATATAAAGTTTGTATAAGTTTTGTATATCTAATTTGAATAAAATAGTCAATAAAATTAAGCAGAACTTTCAATAAAAAGTTCTGCTCAATTTTAATTGACTATTTTATCTAAATTAGATATACAAAGCTGATATTACTATTGATTTAAAAAATTACTATTCTAAATATTTATGAATATAGGTAATGCTGTACGTGCTAAGACATGTTCAGAGGTTGCAGAAAAGGGCAATATTTGCAATGAATATCATAATATTCAGTTTGATAAAAATCTTTACAATAGACTTTTACAAAAAATACCATCATCAGAAAACATTAAATTTACACCCAAATTTTTGGAAAAATAGCTCCTTAAAAAATCATCTTCAAAATCGTGACCTTCATGACATATAGAATTTATTTAATAATGATAATGAAGATCAATTAAATTCTTGGATTATATTGGCTGATAAGGCTATAAATAGAGCATTTAAAGATTTACTAGTCTTTTTAGGACTTTGCCAAGTGATGAATAATGCTGCTGAATAAAAAGCTAAGAAGAAAAGCAAACAAAATATAAAGTATAGTGAAGAGTTTATGAATTTTTTGATTATTTTAGAAAATATTAGTCCAAAAGCCCTTGATTTATTTTGGCAAAATTTAGAAGGAAGAGGAATTCATTGTTTATAATAATGCTACTTGTAGTTTAAGAGATTGAAATTCTAATAGTACTTTTAATGAATATTTTGAATTTTTAAAAGTCTTTAATTAGATAAATTTTGTTTAGAGCTATAGAGTTAAGAATTAATATACAAAATTTAAAATATTCATTAATTATTAGCAAACTTAGATATTGTTAGATAGTTATATTATATTAGAATTATAAATTAAAATTTAGTACTATCAAAATCTCAACTTTGTGGCTAATTAGGGTTGTTAAAACTTATCAGACAATGTAATTTATATAGTAAGTTATATAAATTAATGTTATAGTAAATTACAGAGTAATTTATAGTAACTTACAACAACTCTATGTCTTGGTTTAATTTTTTTATAATTAATTTACTCTATTATAATAAACTATAATAATTTATTAATAATTAGAAAATTGCATTATAATAACGAAGATTATTTAACCAATCCTGATTTTTGTTTTGAAAATGTTGCATATTTTAAACAACTTATTGATACAATTCAATATGATGGTTTAATTATCATGATGACAGATAATACCAAATTAAAACCACAACTAAAATATTCTTCCACACTTGGGTGTATTGTTGAATCAATTTTTACGAAAAAAGAGACATGCATAAATATTTACTTAGACATTTCGAATGTAATTACAAAAATTAAATCATCAAATGGAATCACTAAAGCTATTTGTATGTATATTTTACAGGTATGACAATATAAGTTTTTTGTTTTAAAAATATCCTTATGAAATATAGCAATAACTATATTTGAGTGCCATTAAGAGAAGACCCAAAATCTGGCTTATAATTATATTTTGTGTTTAAAATTTAATTGTATTATCTTGACAACTACTACACCAAATTCGGTGAAGTTTTTTTTATTCGAATTCTATATATCTGTAGAATTTGAATAAAAAAAATTTTATCGAATTTGGTATAGTAGTTGTTAAGATAATATAATTAAAAGTTTAAATACAAAATATAATTAAAAGCCAGATTTTGGGGTTTTTCTTAACAGCACTTATTCTATAAAGTTATTTTCAAAACAGATCTTATATATAGGCTAGGTGCTAAGAAAAAAATGCAAATTGGCAACTTTTTTAAAAATTATTAATCTATTATAAAATTTAAACATTTTTCAAAGATTTTTTTTTTGTTAATTTTAGCTTTTTTTTTAATACTTAGCTCATAATATTATATATAAATGAATATTTAATAAATACTAATTTTATATTTACAATTTAAAGATACCTTTACCAAGATTTCCACTAGTAGTTATTACTCTTATTCCTAATAAAGGATCAGATACTGCTGAAGATATTAAAAAGCTATATAGAAAATTAATCGAAGAATTAGCACCACAATTGCATCTTCATATTCTGTCATTAGGATCAGATAGTGCTATTACAGAGTTCCAAGCACAACAATCAATTCTTAATACCCAGACTTCTGAAAAGCTTATATTTTGTAAGCCTGCTTTAAATATAAACTTTTCTTGCTCTATTATGGATGAAATTGGATCTATAATTCATGTACAAGATCCAAAATATATAAAAAAACTGCATGAAATGCTGTAATGTCAAGTGCACGCCTATTAATATTTAGACAATCATCTGCATGATTTCAACCTTTTTAAACCTTATAAATTAATATAATTCAATAATGTATAAAAATGATATTATTAAACTAGATTGGCATGACAATAATATAGTATATTAAACATTTTTTTCATTAAATTTTAAGCAATGTTTTGGAAAAAACTTTGAAGTCGAATCAGATATAGAAGGGTTTGCAATATACTTGTTCATGATAGATAAGTTTTATTTTAAATATAAACTATTCATTATAATATATGTGTATCTATAGTGGTTTGGCACCTATTACATGTTTTATATTTTTTAAATTTTTTAATAATTTTTGAAATAATTTTGGACCTTTGCTAGGAAAATCACCCTTCAGGGTTTTCTGATTGCACTAATTTGGAAAAGCTTAGACCAGAATGCCAGTTCTTATTAATATGTAAATTACCTTTTGCTTTATTTATTTGATAGTTTATTAAATAAACTGTCAAATCAGTAAAGTAAAAAGATATTTTATATACGAATAAGAACTAGCATTCTGGTCTAAACTTTTCCAAATTAGCATGATCGAAAAATCCTGAAGGGTAATTTTCCTAGCAAAGATCTTATATATTTAAATACTATAAATGCACTTTAGTAAAAGTTTTAAAATATAGAATCTTTGCTTTGTAAATGACTTTATGAAATATAGTAATTTCTATGTTTTACAAGATCATTTTCAAAACAAAAATTCTATATATTATTGTTGTAAAATGTAATATTAATTTATATTAATTTATAGGAGAATTAATAAATAGCTATCTTAACCAAAGTATTGCACCTATTGAACGTATTCATATGGTAATGACTGCCTATTTTTTTCTTCACATATGGAAATTTCATATTGAAACATTAACAAAGAAGTATCCAGATTTTATATTAACAAAAGCAAATTTCTTAGCTTATCAAAGTTTTTTCATATTTATATCACTTGCAGAATCAATAGTTTTGTTAGTAAAAGCACACTGTGAATTTTATTTGCAAATCCTATTTCTACCCTGGTTTCATGGTTCTGAATCTTGTGAACATTTTTTTGGTATTGCCTGTCAAATTAATGCTGATTTTATTTTTGCTAAATTGGTGCAAATAATTCCAAAGATTTCTCAATATAATAAATCTTTATGGGATCAAAAATTAAACTTTAATAAAGAAAAATCAGTTAGACAAGGTAATTTAATTTTAATGAATATATTATAATAGCGGTAGAATTCAAAATAATTAGTAATCATTGTTATAATTTTCCTTTTTTGAATTCTACTACCATCTATAATAAGAAATATAAATATAATTAAAATATGCTAATGATTATAAACAATAGTAATAGTATATATATATATATATATTATTGTTTATATTATTAAAGCACTTTTAATAATTTGTTTACTATCAAGTTCTTATATATATTAGTGCAATCTTTGTCTTTACTAATATAAGTGACACCAAGAGAAAACTAAACTAAAATTATATAGTTTTCCTTTGGCATTATCTATATTCAATAAATTAAAACATTACTACTTTTTATTGAATGTATTATGCTTATTTACTTTGTTTTTAATTTATATATTTATTTTGATAGGTTATCTTTTTAATTATTATGAAGGAGGCAATTTAAATTTAGAAAAACTAAAGTTATAGCCTACAGACAAACAAATTACAGAAACCACTCATCATTCATATCACTTAGCATATGAACTTACAGAACTTCTTGATATAATTCAGCCTGAAGATTTATCTATTAATAGATAAAATTTATTTACTATTAGCTTATATGAAGATGAAGTTTCGGCATCATATATATATAAAGATACAAATTTAACTGATATTCAAAAAATTGATGATATTTTTTCTGCAATAAACAATGCATCAAAAGAAGTAAAACAAATTAGCAGTAATTTATACAATGACGATGAAGAGCTTGTATCTGCTAATATATTTCAAAATGGTCAAAGATATTTTAATATTGATCAATCTTTAGATTCTGATTTATTATCAATTTTAAATAATGGAGATAGTAGTAAGTATTTATTATAATTTCAAATTACTACTTGAATTGTTTAATTTAAATTATATTTTTGGTTATTATTTTATATAAAATATACATTTTTAGATATACTAAAGTATATATTTTATATATTAATAGTTAATCTAGATTATCAATATTTTTTAGAAAGTGCTTTAAACTTTAGGTTGATCAACATCAATTACATGATGCATATTGTTCCAAACCACTTGAACAAAAGTTTAAATCAAAGGCATTAAGCTCTACTAGAGTTGATATACTGAATTCTATTAGTTCAAATAAGGCTAGTCATTTAGTTGCATATTTTACAAAAAATAAAAATTCTAAACAACAATTTGTTAAGCAAAGAGAAAAGCAATAGAAGGAAAATCATAAAAATATATTAATGATACTTGCACAATTACATTTAAAAGAAATTAAAAAGTTAAAAAAAAAGAAACCATCTAATAGAAAAATATTCAAACCAAATTAATTTCAAGTAAATTTTTTTTTATTTTTTATTTTAATTTTAATTTTATTTTTTTTTTATTTTATTTTTTTTGTAAACTAATATAAATTTGATTTAAAATTAAAATTTCAGGTATGTAAAATTTTAATAAAAAATTTTTAAAGTTTATAATTTTAAAAGTGTATAATTTTAAGGGTTTTATAATTTACCGCCATGGCAATGTATCACCACCCCTAATCAACCAATTAGAATGCAGGATCAGGTGTAACATGAAATTGAAGCGATTACGATTTTTCTTCAAAATCAGTTATAGCACAAAATTTTATCTATAAAACTATCACTTGTGCTTTAACAAAAAAAATTTATCTCAAAATTTTGGGTTAGAACCTTTTTACTAAAGCGCTCTACCCTAACACTAACCCTAACCTAACTCTACCCTCATTCTAACTCTAAACTAACGAATTAATTTTATTGTTTTGATTTCATGTTATACATGATCTTATAGGTGCGATATATCGCATATGTGATAAAATATAAAATTCTAATTTTAAAAGCATTTAATTTAAAAATTTTGTTATTTATTTATATAATATAAATTTTGGAATCTCCTTTAGTATAGGTGGCCAATATAGAAATATAATAAGATTATAATATAAAAAAACTCTAACCCTAACTCTAGAGCTAACTATAAACTATACTATAACCTTATCCTAACCCTAACTAATCTTAAATTTGCTTAAATTAGCTTAAATACTATGTTTATATATTATAATCTTATAATATTTCTATAGTGGCCATCTTTACTAAAGATCAACCAAATTTTAAGTTATAAATTTTTAAGTTATAAACTTTTAAATTTTAAACTTGAAAATTAAATACTACTAAAATTTTAACTTTAAATTATTTAATAGTTCTCGATATTCAAAATGCAAATATATCAGTTAATTTCTACTATCAAAAAATGATTATGTTTTTGTTTTATATAGTGAAACTATGTGCATTAGAAAAGCTATTGCACTATATTTTGAAGGTTACAATAACCATTGTTATACAAATAAACCTATTACAGATTTGAATAATATTTCTTATATTTCATTACATGTTTTATTTACCTATTTATATTGATTTGTTTAGTAATATTTTAAAGGAAGGTTGTAGTCTTTTAACACATCATTCAGCTTCTAATATCATTTATCATATTAACAGATCAGGAGTATTAATTGATAGAAATATTTTAAAGTTACTTGGAGATAAAAAAATGTTTTTACAAGGTGTGGCAACTTAGTGTAGTGGTCTAGTTGTCACCCTCTCCAAGTGGCAGGTCTAGAGTTCAAATCCCACAAACGACGAATTTTGAAAAATAGCCTGTGCTACGGTTTACAGTTGTCAACTATTGGTTGGATCTAGAAATCTGTAATCTCGGTCATACCATCTAGTTATGGGAGCTTTGGCGCAATAAATCCGAGAAACTGGAATAACCGAAAACCCATTTGGCAAG